TCACACAGCTAGTAAATATCTGAGGCTGGATTTGAACTCAGGTCTTCGGGACTCCATACCACCTAGGTGCCCTTAAATTGGTAGAAAAGCTATAGCTTAAAAGTCTACTATTGTTACTGTTAGATTAAAAGTCTACTATTATAAATATAAGAAACTTGCCCAGGTTCCCTGATTTTCCTCATTAGCAGAATTACAAGGCTGGCCTATATGGGTTCTAAGGCCCTGACCAACTCTAACATTTTATGCTCTAGGGTCTCTTTCATTCTCATCCTGGATATCCTAAGTTCTAATGCCTCTCCCAGGCCTAAGTCTCTCACCTGAAGAACAAAATGTAGCTACGAGGAGCTAATGAGGATGCTATATGCAGGAAGCACACACAGACTCTGTGTACTCCTGCAGACCAGGGCCTGCACAGACACATGCAGCTGTTCTACCAATTCATATTTCAGAGAACCTGTCTGTCTTTCTTTGGCCCCAGGCTAGCACCAAGGAAAGGGAATACTGGGTCTGTTTTTGGCTTTCTTTTTATCTTGCTATGTGACCTTGAACTAACTTTACATCTTTCTTGTCCCTAAGTACCCTCATCTGCAAAATAGGACATCTCCCTTCTTTTGAAGTGCAGAAAGAATAACCAGTAATTAGGACTAAAAATCTCTGGGTCAACAATTCCATGCAATTTTGCCAGGGGTTTGTGTGGCTTTGAGAGATGGCATTTCAATTTAATGCAATTCAAAAGGTATTTATTAAGCACCTCTAAAACATGGTGGCTACCCTCAAAAGGAGTTTATAATTTAGGAGGGGAGATAAGACATGTATACAGTAAGCATAGTACAAATTAGAATATAATTGTTTAAGAGGAGTACAAATTGCTATGAGATCATAAAGTTTTAGTACTGGACAGACATTGGTACACAGAACACAGATGGCCAAACACCAGAGCTAGAAGGAATCTTAGAACATTAAAAAACAACAACAACAACAACAATAACCAATAAAACAAAAACAAAACTCAGAAAATTATAGGAGGAAATCTTCGATATTGATTATCTAGCCAACTTATTTGATTTACAAATGAATATACTGAGGTCCAGGGAAGTTAAATGAATTGCCCATCCTAAAATTAATATGACAGATCCTGAACTCAGACTCGTGTCTACCAACTCCAACTCTTTGTGTTATACAAAAGGGCCACCAATACCTTATTGCCTCTTTGAGGTCACTCTTTCTGGTGTTGTTCAGTTATGTCCCACTCCTTTTTGTTTTTTTTTTAGTGAGACAACTGGGGTTAAGTGACTTGCCCAGGTTCACACAGCTAGTAAGTGTCAAGTGTTTGGCCTGAGGCTGGATTTGAACTCAGGTCCTCCTGACTTCAGGGCCCGGTGCTCTATCCACTGAGTCACCTAAATGCCCCTGTCCCACTCTTTTTGACCCTATTTGAGTAAAGAGTAAAAAGACTGGAGTGATTTGCCATTTCTTTCTCCAGCTCATTTTATGAGGAAACTGAGGCAAACAGGGTTAAGTGACTTGCCCAGGGTCACACAGGAAATGTCTGAGGCTGAATTTGAACTCATGAAGATGAGTCTTCCTAACTCCAGGATCAGTGCTCTATCCACTTTGCCACTTAGCTGCCTGTTTCTGGGGCTCCTAAAAAATTTTACAGATCTAATGATATGTATGTATCACATGACATCTGTAAAGCACACATACATTCATCTCTACATATAATCTACATACATATAGATACACATATACACGCATTTATTTACACACCTTAACATACAGCAGAAATAGCACCAGATATGGAGTCATGAGACTTACAATCTCTAATCTGGCCTTTGTGTCTTTCTATTTTTGTGACCTTGGACAAATCACTTCTCTCTGAGCTTGTTTCTTCATCCGTAAAATGGGAGTGGTAATACTTACATTACATACCTTGGACAGTTGTATAGAACAAATGAGATGACATACCTATATCCACAGTGTTGCATAAATGTAGGCTTTTATTACTAATGAAACTAAAGGCGTGTAGTACCTTATACATAAAGTTGACACTAGAAAAATGTTTTTGAGTGATTCTGAGCAAATAATTTAGGTCCTTCCTATTATGTATACAAAGGATAAAGTGCTGGGCCTGAAGTCAGGACGACTTATCTTTGTGAGTTCAAATCTGACCTAAGACTAGCTGTGTGACCCTGGGTAAGCCATTTAACCCTATTTTCCTGGAGAGAAGGAAACAGCAAACTGCTCCAGTAGCTTTGCCAAGAAAACCCCATATGGGGTCACAAATGACTGAAATGATTCAACAACAGCAAATAAATTAATTAGACAGCATTCTGGGTTTCTCTTACAAACTGGATGACATTACTCTCTTGTCAAGATCCCTAGATTTGGGGTCAAAACACTTGGATTCAAGTGCCAGTTTTGCTACTTACTAGCTGTGGGGAAAAGTCATTTCCCAGCAAAGCGCTTTACAAATCATATCTCATTTGATCCTCACAATAACCCTGGGAGGTAGACGCTATCATTAGCTCCATTTTGCAGATGAGGAAACTAAAGCAAGGTAAATGACTTGTCCAGAGTCACACAACTGATAAGTGTCAGAGGTCTAATTTGAACTAGGGTCTTCCTTCTTCCAGGCCCCTGCTCTATCCGTTTAGATCACCAAATGCCTCAAATAAGGTTTTTAATGCCAGGCAAAGGTATATGAACTGTGTACTTAGAAGGCAATAGTAGCCACTGCACATTTTATACTCTTGACAGAATCATTTTACTTGTGGGTAGATGTGGCTGAATCATTCAGTTGACCAAAATTTTTGAAATGACCCCTGATTGCTTCTGAATAAAGGTCATATCGCTTTGCCTGGCATTCAAGGCTCTCAGCAATCTGGAACCACGTTACCTTTTCCTGACCTCGTTACTTCTTTCTGTACTATGTTACAGTCAGATCCCACTACTTACCAACCTTGTATTTTTCCACTTCCTTGCCTTTGCTCACCCTGTTTCCCCATGCTTAGAGTATCCTTCCTCCCTTCCGCTGACGAATTCCAAGTTGTCCTTTAAAGCACAACTCAATTACTCTCCACATGAGGCCTTCCTTGATCCCAGCAACTATTTCCCCCAGATCTCAAAAGAGCACTGCTTTGCCCTTTTCTTTTGTATTTATCTTACTGCTATCTGTGCTTTTATCTCTCACCTTCCTATTCAACAGCAAGTTGCAGAGGGCTAGACAGTGGTCTCATTTACTCTTGGGGTCAGCCTCAGTGCCTAGCTCAGTGCTCTGCAAGTAAGCAGATGCTTCGATTGTTCAACATTCTATATCATAAGGCTGCTTTCTAACGATGCAGTCTTGTGTTCTAAGGTCTCTCTTCCAGTTCTGACTTGTTACATGCTCTGCTTTTAAAGTGCATGTCCCTTCCCCCAAAAGATTAGGATGTTCTATAGCCAGCTGAACTGATGATCAAGAACTATGCTGTGGAAAATGAACATCTTGTCATCCACTTGGCTTAGACGATTAGAATCTGAGTGCATTCGAGTTAGCCAACGTTTGTTAGCATTCAAATCTCCCTTCCAAAGGGCACAGGAAGGGACTTCCCTCTCCAGTGCTCGTGCCCCCGCCCCCGCAGGGTAAGGTCCGTGACACCAGCAGCTAAGTGGCTGACCTCTGTCGGATCCCCAAGCTCTTTAACTTAACTCCTGCTCCCTTCTGCCCGTCAACAGCGCATAAAGTTGCCTGAGGGTTAACGCACGTGGGGGCAAAGTGGGCTCGCCAAGGTCACCCAGGATGGGTGGGGAAGGCCCGCAGCATTGGGTTTGGGAACGGAGGGGACCCTGCCAGGCCCAGGCAAATTAACCCACCCGAGCTTTTGTGAGGCTGGGTGTGCATTAATCAGCACTTTTCCTTCCCTGTTCCAAATGCAATTTCATCTTCCACCAATTTGTCTACCGTTCTCAGCCTAAGAAACGAAAGCAAGCCGGCACTGCCGCCGCATGGCCCTAAGTCCATGTGCTCCACCTGCGGCCTTGCTTCCCCACTCGGGCCCTTTAAGAGCTCCCCGCCCCTCCCCGGCTTCCCCCGCACCCCCCGCCCTTCTGCGCTCTCCCTCTCGATCCACCTTTCCGAATTGCATCAGGCACGTGCTCGCCCCCGTCCCGTCGGAGCCCTCCCCTTCCCCCCCCCACTGGGGAACAGGAGCAGAGAGAGAGGGAAGAGGGGGGGGAAAGGGGGTGGGGACGGAGTAGGGAGTGAGGGGAAGGGAACTCGTGCGCGCGCGCGCTCCTCTCCCTCTGTCCCAGGGGCCGGGCCACGGCGCGCGCGCCCCCGCCACCCCGTCCCCGTCCCCGACCGCATCCCCTCCCCTCCCGTCCCAGAGACGCCGCGTTGCGAAGCGCGCCCCCGCCGATCGCGTGGTGTGCTCCGCTCCGCTCTCCCCTTCCATATTGCTGCAGCCCAGAGCAGGGAGCCCGGGCTGCCCCCGGGGGGGAAGAGGAGAGGGAGAGGAGGGAGAGAGGCAGAGAGAAGAGCCGCCAGGCCCCAGGGCTTCAGGGGTGGGGGGTGGCGGGGGGAGCCTAGGGCCCCAGGCGAGGAGGCAAGAGAGGGGTTCCCCCCCCCGCCCCGGCACCGCCGCCGCCGCTCAGGGCCTGGGCTTCTCCGCGGCTCCCTCCGACGGGGAGGGAGAGACAGAGGGAGGGAGGAAAGGGAGGGGGCCGCGCCCGGCTGCTCGGCTCGAGTCCCTCCCGGCACTCCCCTCCTGCTCCGGTCCCCGGGGACCGTGAGGGGGGCAGCCCCTTGAGACAGCCTTCCCGGAGGGGAGAGCGGCAAGGCCGGGCAGCTTCAGGAAAGTTTGAGGCGGCGGCAGCGGCGAGCGAGAGGGGTGGGGGCGAGGCTGCTGCGGCGCCGGCGGGGGCTTTGGTTCGGGGGGCGGGCGCTCCCATGGCCACCGAGGTGGAGTCTCTCCCGCCCGGCAACCCCCTCCTTCAGGCCGAGGACCACGGCGGGCTGGTGATGAAGCAGCCGCCGCCGGCGCCGCCGCCGCAGCAGCAGACGCCGCAGCCCGAGGGGAAGGGAGAGCCTCTGGACGGCGGCGACGACGGCGCCCGGCCCCCGCGGCCGCCCGGCTCGGCAAGGCCGCTCCGGGACGACGGCCCCCCGCCCGAGAGGGAAAGCCTGCAGCTGCTGCCGCCGCCGCCCCGGGGCGAGAGTGACGGCGGCAGCGGCAGCGAGGAGGGCGGCGAGCCGGGCCGCCGCGAGTTCGTCGAGGCCCCCCCGCCCAAGGTGAATCCGTGGACGAAAAACGCGGGACCGACAGCCTTGGTCACCGTGAACGGACAGTCCCCGCCAGGTGGGTGTTTGCTCTCTTCCTTCCTTTCTCGGGTCGTGCTTCCTTGCCGCGCGGGGCCGCAGCGTGGGGGGGGGCGCGAGAGCGGGGACTCCATCATGATTTTCTCCCTTCCCCTCCTCCTCCCCGGAGGGTCTTTGCAGCCGCCAGCCCCCGGGGTCCTTCCCGGGAGGTGACGCAGGCCCCGGGCGGCTGCCTGGGCTTTGTAGTGGTCGGAGTCCGGGCGAGGGCAGGACGGAGCGGCCTTGCCGGGGCCGTAGCAGCTGGCGCGGGCAGCGGCGAGAAGGCCTAGAGCCCCCGAGAAAACTACTTTTTGGGTGCAAATGGCTCTTTACCCCTCCTCGTTCTCCACCTCCCCCCAGAACACTCCCAGCCTGCGGGGGAAGGGAGAGATTCTCCAAAACCCCGCACCCCGCTTTTGGAGCGTTGCAGCATTTATCGTATTGCAAGCGCCTTACAAGCGTGTCCTGGGCAGAACGAGATGAGTTCATAGCGACAAATATGGATTCTGGAATTCAAAGTTCTATAGTGTTTGGTCTCTAGGTTGGTAGATTAGACGACCACCCCTCTCCCCACCCAGAGCCCCGTGGAGGGGGGGGAGGGGGATTGGAAAAAGAAAACTAAACGTGTCATTGAGATTCTGGTGAGGCACATATGTGTGTGTTTTTTCTTCAGAGACCCAGATACGTAATTTTTATAGGCTTTTTATGGGGTTGGGTCGTGTCCTACAGAAATACCCAGCCGGGGAGGCAGACAGGAGGGGCGTGGAAATGTTGGAGGGGTGGGGTGTGTGTTGTGGGGGGAGGCGGCGCAGGGCAGTGAAAGTGGGGGGCCCTGCCTGGCGGCGCCGGCTTGAGTGACAGGTCGGCGACTGCGGGGCGGCCACGCGGGGGGCCGGAGGGATTCGAGGCCCAGTAGCAGGGTTCGATTTTAGAACGCCGGGCCGGGCGAGGGCGTGTGCGTGTGCGCGTGTGCTTGTGTGTGTGTGTGTGTGTGTGTGTGTGTGTGTGTGTGTCTCACCGAGCTTCCTCCCCTTCCCAGCATTCCACTGCAGTAAAGACAACGTGGTTTCTCTCCCCTTGCTGCCTGCCTGCCTGCCGAAAGCGGCATGTGATCCGGGCCAACATCCCCATGGCTTAGCCCGCACCCTGTACCCTCCCCCATTCCCCCCAGCCTTTGGGGTGGGGTCTCCTCACCCAACTAGGCCGGGCTTAGGAACGGAATTCCATGAGCTGGGCCGCTGTGTCCCAAAAGGGAGGACTGGGCCTCTGGCGGAGGGGAGCCTCGTGGCCTTGATTTTCACCCTTCGCCCCTGGGTACTTGAGCCAGCTCATTTGGTTCCCCCCGCCCCCCCCCCGGGGCTTCCAAACTATTTAAACAGGGCAGGGTCACCCAGTCTTGTATTCTGCTTGATCCTGAAATGGTCACTGGAAGTGCAGGGACTCCCTTCTTAGTCTTCCTGGCTCTCCCATCTAAGATGATGATGATGATGATGATGATGATTCTTTCCTGTTCTTAACTCTAGAACAGAAAGTTGAGGGGAGACCTTTGGGCCCCAGGGAAGTCAAATGGGAGGAGGTAAAAGCATGCCCTCCTTTAGCTGGCATGAGGCCTTGGCCTGGAGGAAACTGAAAAGCCAGCCCTTAGATCAGAATGTTGCAATGACATTTCTCTTAAGGTTGCTTCATTGGAGGGGAGGGTTCATTTGGGATTTACTAACAGTACCTCAAACTGTATTTAACCCCATCCCTTTCCAGACTATGCTCTTATGCAAAAGATAATTTGGAAACCTCCATTTTCTTTAAGATCATCTCTATCTAGGGGTAAAGGAGAGGAACTTTGAAACAGGTTTGGACACATTAAGCTGAAAAGGGATCTAAATGGACTCTCAGATCACTGAAGGAAAGGGAAATGGCTGGTAGCTATGTGCATCAGACTCCAGGCTGTTTAATGGTGAGGCTGCTTTCTGGATTTTAAATCCCAGTGTGCAATGTCAGATGGCCTACAGGTGCATGTGCTGGCATTTTGTGAAAGCTGATGCCCTCTGAAATGGTGCGTCATCACCATTGTTGACATATGGGAAATGTGCGGCCTGGCTCTGGCTTCTCCCCTTTTCTCCCCTAACAAGAAGGGAAGTAGACATTCCTTTCAGGTGCTTCAAACCAGATCTTGGTCAGATAGGTTTCTGTGTTGTAACCTCTGTCATTGGAATCCCAGTTGTAGTACTGTAGCACTAGTGGAAGCAGTGGCACCACTGCAAAATCCTGTCTTTACACAGAGACAGTTGACTCAGCTTAAAGCTAAAACCTTGTTGGATGCAAAGTCTCTCCTGGAATCTGAGATTTAGTGCTTTTGAAAATTCTATGTTTTGTGGAAGAAAGAAGATAATGTGATTTGGTAATTTGATAAGTAAGTAGGTACTTTTCCTTTGGCATACATGTGGTGGAAGTAGAATAAGATGATCTGAGTTCAAGCCCTGGCTTTCTTGTCTGTGAAAGCTGTGGTACTAGAATCAAATAAAACCCTCTAACCTGAGTTTTATCTGTAAATATGGATAATAATAGTTGCCCTTCTGGGAGCATGGAGTAGTTGTGAAGAAAGTGCTTTGTAAACTGCACACATAAGTTGCTCTCAGCATATGCTGCCTAGCCTCACTGGGCATGTGGGTGGTAAGCGGTATATTCTAAGGAAAAAGACAGGAGTTTTGGGGTTCTAATTCTGCTGTGTTTCTGACCCACTCTGTCCTTGGGCAAGTCATTGGATGTTTCTGGGCTCCAGTTTTCCTGAGTCTTATTAGGGTTGGATTAGAGTGATTTCTGAGATTCTCTTCAGACATAGCACTGATAGAATTTAAATGCAGATTCATGGATAATTGGGTAGGTTACCGCATTAATATCATCTTCATGTTCTAGCTTTTTGGAAGCTACAGAACAGAGTGTAAACTTTAAGCTGCACTTTCCAAAGCTTGCTGCAGAAGCCTATTTTTATTCACTGGTTTGGCTCTGCTAGTATTTTTTGAGGGGACATGCACAGTAAGGAGTAATGAAAGATGCTGTAAGGTCAAATACCTGCCTGCAGTTTACTTTCCTGTGTAGCTGTATCCAGGTTCATTTAAATGTGTAAACTTACCATTATTCACTTTATCTTCTAAAGAGTTGTATTTCTACAATAGTTCCTTTACTTGGAAAGAAGGAAAGCTAGGCCTGAGTCCCTGATCTATCACTAACTGCTTTATGACCTTGGGTCAGTCACTTCTGTTCTGGAATCTTTCCTCATCTGTGAAATGAAAGTGAACTATCTAGATAAACCTTAAAAAACCTTTCTAACACTTGGTTTTGTGAATATTCGTTTAAATACAAAATGAATTTAAAAGATTATACCGTTGAAAATAAAGTCTGGTCATGGTTTAGCCATACAAATGGAGAACATGCTTTAGATAACCCAAAGAATTACTTATTTGGCCTTTGAATCTGTAAAAATAAAGGAATTGCAGTAAATGCTTTCTAACATCCTCAACTCTTAGATTTTATGTTTTTATTTTTTATTTAGTTATGCTGTTTTAAGGATCTTTCCAGTTTTAATGATCTATTAATATATTGTGTTCTTAAAGTTGATTTAATAATCTCATGCTTAGTAGCCTAGTATCAAAATTAGGTTTTGTTCCCTGTTCACGTGCCAGGTTGGAGAGTCAGGGGGTACTTTTGGGGAATAGGAGAAAGCCAGGCTGAAAGTAAGACATTTCAGTGCATGTCACAGTGAATCCCTATATAGTCAATTTTTGAGAATCCACTACAAGTGCATCAAGAGATCTTACCTCCATTCTTCATAATCTTTTACAATGTGTATGATAACACATTGTTTTCCTAAGGTGGAGTGATGTAGTAAAATTGGTTAGTACTGTTCCTTTTCTGTAGTTTTCTGTGGTTTACCATACTATATCCTAAATGGAACATGAATCTAGACTGGATTATAGCCTCAATTAAAATTTTTACCCCTAGCCTGGCTTCCCTTCAAATCTGGACAGCTGCTCTTTTCCCATTTTCCAGAGGTAGGAAATACAGTTTTAAACCTAACTTCCAATTGTGGTTTAGAAGACATCAGTTGGACTGATCTCTGCTATTGCATTTGGTGCCGGGTTTACAGTAGTCCTTACTCCAAGGATCCATTTAATACCTGGAAATGGTTTTTGTGCTTTAGGTGGGGTTTGGTGACTTGACAACTGTGTGTATGTGTGTGTGTGTGTATAAATTTTGGGGGGGGGGTGGGATATGGACAGGGAGCTCCTGATGAGGAATCTTTTGCCAATGCTGTATTCTGAGCTGTCTTTTTCTCTTTTTTTCCCTGCCGTCTCCTCCCCCATTCCCAATAAAGCAAGAAGCAGTTGGACCATAAGATGGTTTAGAGTGAATGTTTATGAGACTTCAACCCCATGACAGTGCTATCTCTCTAAGCTCATTTCACATCATCTTGCTAAGATAGTATAGTATTGGAGAATATTAGAATTGGAAGTTTGAAGATCTGAGTTCTAGTTCTGATTCAACTGTAACTCATTGGTGTCACCCTAGACAAGTCACTTATCAGCTCTTTGGCACTGCCTACCTTTCCAAGTCTAGCTGGATTACCCCAAATCCCCTGAAGATACCTGATGTTTTCCTGCTTCCCAGCCTTAGAATATTTCCTACCTGTTTGAAATCCTAACCACTCTTTACCTACCTCACATGCCCCTTCTTCTTTCTTTAATGAATCTTTAATGAAGTTTTCTTTAACAAATCACAGGATCATAGATTTAGAACTGGAAAGATTTATGGTAGGCCATACCTGGAGGATATCTAATCTAGCCCTCTGATTTTACAGGTAGTGGGAACTGAGACCTGGATATTTTAAGTGACTTGCCCAAGGTTACACAGGTAATAAGTTTTGGAGTCAGGATTTAAATTCAGATCTTCTGAATTCAAACCTAGTTTTCTCTATACTGTACCTCTCTGACTCTTGATATGAACTGA